TCTGTACTACAACAAACAAATATGGCTAAACCAAAACGTTTTCGAAATCACCTAAATAAAGCTATAAAAGCAATGTAACAGTGATCATAGGAACTGTGATTCCAATGCAACAATTAACGATATACATAACATGTACGACCAAACTTTGCAGCCATAGCTGGCAGCATTAGTCACTCCATAACAGCAGGAGTAACAGAGGCAGCGTAAATCCACGTGGACGTCATCTTTGGTCTAATAACGATAACGTCTATTTTGCATTATGGGTACGGCTCCAAACTGTCCATAAAAAAAATCAAAATTATTAATTGGAATACTCGAGTAATGTATGCCCCTTTTCTTTTTCGGTGCTTCAGTAATGTGGGTATTGTTATTGGCAGAATGCAGGTCAATTTGGGATCCATACTGGCCACCCCACAGAGACTGCCCTTCTTCGTGCACTCATTGATCTCGTCTCAGCTGTCATTCCCCTTGATCATCATTTCCCTTAACCTCGCCGCTAAACTCTGCACTCCCGATTGCATTGCGAGTCCACTCTTCTGACATCCTGACTGCTTAATATCAGACATATGACACGTGTTGGCGGAGAGTCACGGTCGGGGGTGGGGGGGGGGGTGGAATATATAAATATCTATCTTCAGAAAAAAATTTTCCAAGTCGTATTCATTGGATTTGGGTTGAAATTTGCAAGGCGTTCTACGAGGTAGGCCTCGGCAAGGTAAGGTAATTGTACCCTTTTTACCGGGTAAAAGGGTAAAGGTAAAGGTGTCGACATGCCAAGGGGTAAGGGTAAAGGGTAGGGTAAAAGGTAGGCTCGTTGCTTTTGACCTTTGACCTTACCTGCTAAAGGGTAAAAGGTAGGGTAGAGTGAGTGTATTGTGGTTAGGTAAAAGGTAGGGTAAAGGTAGGCTCGTTGTTTTTACACTTTTACCTTACCTTGCCGAGGCCTACTACGAGGGAATAAAAACGTCCATCTTTTGGCAGCAGATGGAATCCAAACGTGAAACAGGAGGCATGCGGGGTCGTTTATATTAATCCGAAGTGTTTTTTATCGCAAACAGCACCACAAAGCTTACATGTTTCGTGATACCTTGCTCAAACCAGGAGTGCAAAATGGTGGAAACTCTCTCCTCCAACGTAAAAGGAGCTATTATTTGGTTCTTTCGGTTAAGTCACGTCTAAAGATAAAATAATAAATTAAATTAAATAATAGCATACGACGTTTCGATTGCAACACAAGCAATCATCATCAGGTATAATGAAATAGCGACATAAAATCTAACCAGAAAACTATAGACAGACATATTAGCAGACAGATATCACCAAGATACATAGAGGGAGCAACACAGGAAACAGAGAGGGGTGATCATCTCTGTGGGGTGGCCTTAAATAGACAGAGGGGGGAGGAGGCAGAGAGAGGGAGGGGGTTAGAGAAAACATTTGCATATCAATGAGTGGTCCAAAAACAAGGTTCTGCAAGTGCGATGACACGGCAAGCAAGTCTGAAAATCAGAAGGACAAACTAAAATTCAATAACCTAGTAAAATATCGAAATGTTAAGAGGGTAAAAGGAGCTTCCACTGGATAAAAATGGTTTCTGCCCACGTCGAATGTCTGGCTAAGTTGGAAATTGCTTCCCAAAAGCTCAGCGCGGCAGCAAAATAGCAGGACAAGAGGTGCAGGAGGAGCTGATGCGTCTGGAGATGCACTCATGTTTCACGTAAATCGAATTGCTGAAAGTATTTGCAGGTGTGGTCCATGACCAATCCCTGTCTACCCAACCTCGCCCATTCTCATCGCCTTTCATGACCCAATGTGGCCAGGGCAAAAGCCACTTTACATATGGCAGAAGCCTCTGGTATATCCACTTTTCTCGCGTGATTTGCTGGCCGTTTAGTTAATGACTGTCCTCTTGAATAATTAAATGTGTGCGATAGGAGGACAATGAGTCTTTAATTGTTTTAATACAATTCGATTTAAAGCTTTCGTGACTGCATGGATTCATCTTCTTGGTTCTTTCGGTAAAGTTACGTAGAAGGGAAATAATGAAATAATAAAAATAAACATAATAAAATAATTCTCACGACGTTTCGGCCATAACGCAAGCAGCCGTCCTCAGGTGAAGGACCAGGTCTATCGGGGAGAAGTTCAGACGCTGTCTCCCCGACAGACCTGGCCTTCACCTGAGGACGGCTGCTTGCGTTGAGGCCGAAACGTCGTGAGAATTATTTTATCATGTTTTATTTTTATTATTTTATTATTTCCCTTCTACGTGACTTTACCGAAAGAACCAAGAAGATGTTTTAATACAGTTTTTTCACCGCTTTTTTATATAAGAGACGAATAAGGCTTCATCTCACGATTGGATTCTAGCATTTCGGTGGAAGCATTTAGAGAACTGGTTTGAACTCATTTTGTTCACTCAGCTGGTTTCACTCCTCTATCTGTGCACGGTTAACGCACCTGATCCAGCAGCCTGCCTACCACGTGTTCTTACTGCAGGGGGTAGTGGCTACTTTGTCGGTGTGAGACCTGGAACATTCTCGCCCATGCTAAACGTCCCATGCGTCAACACTCTCGCGCTCGCAAGCACCGTAGACATACTTGTACACGCTCTATACACGTACATTATATAATTATATTATATTATAGAAAAGCGCAACCGGCATATACACACATGGGGGTGGAGTGGTGGGTCAGTGGTTAGCCCACCGTGCAATGAACCCAGCCCCCTGAGTTCGAATCCCAGCCGTAGCTAACCTCGTGGCGTGTGCCCTTGGCCCGTGTAACAATCCCACACTAACCAGCATGGTGAAGTATGGTCAAACAACCCCCACAACAATATGGCATGGTGAAGCAGTCATCCAGCAGTGGATTGACAAAGGACAAAAACACATGTACATATATGAACACAAATAGACACACGCATGACCTGCATCATCCATGGTCAATTCACTGCTGGATGAAGGCCTCCCCCTCAAGCTGCCGCCACCTCTCATCCATCGAGCACCTGCACGGGAGCCGACGTCATCGCTCCATCTCCGCGGTTGCCGCCCTCACGGTGGACGTGCGCGTGCACAGTGCGCACGTGCGTTAACGCGTGTGCACAGAGTAGCCGCGCAACGTGATACGTGACGCCGCGGTGGCGAGATGTCATCTCCCACGCCTGGTACGCAGGAGGCCGTGGCTTTTCGATCCCGACCCTGACGCCTGTGCTGTATATTTGTAGTTTGCGTGTTCTCTCTCTGTCTCTCTCTCACTCTCCACGTGGTCGTGTGGAGTTTTCTCCGGGTCCTCCGCTTTTTCCCTCCACATTTAGAAGCGTGCGTTTGGAGTATTTGGCTGCTGTGCATTACCACGTGATAATAAGCCACTTCTCGTTGTGGTAGCAGGGTCGCTTCTTTTAAAAATAAAACAGCTATATACCTCAGTGGGCTTTACCTGGTAAAATAACAAAAAATATGTTGTTCATTTTTTTGTTGATATGCCGCATCCCGTCATGCAAGTGAGATGGAAGTCTGGGCATCCGTCAACTCCCCTATCTTGTCAGAGCATCGAGGACGTCCTTTGTCTTCGCGTCATGGCAGGTGTCTTGGTCTCCCGAGGATAGATCAAAGTCCTCCTATCTGCAGACCCCCACGAAAAATCTGACGAATTCATCACCCACCATTGACACTTTTGGGCGATTCCCTTTCCCCGCGTAAGTATCTCAAATTTACGGAGAAAACTCAACCCATGGACAAGGACACGTTTGTTTTGCAGATCAGTCCATAGGTTGTGAAATAATATAGGTGATTCGGTAACAGGGCCATGGATAAGAGGAGTTTCACTGTACCAAGCTGAGATTTCGAGTGCAATACGTGACAGTGTTTGGTTATGTTGAACTTCTTTTTCACCGTACGTAGCCAACCGTGCTAACTGGAGGTGCATTGCGAGTTAGTCACCATTCTGTGCAGCAGGTGTTGTCCGAGTGGAATTCTGTCGGTGCGTGCGCCCGGGCACAGCCTGGAGCGAAGGCCTCATTTGGGTTGCTACGACGGTTATGTAGTGTCAACCTGGACTTTTTCCGTGATTATATTGTAGAACTTGGCGTCCGCGCAGCATGGGAAGACCCTTCATCAAGCAGTGCGTGTACATGGCACATTGACACGTGTGTATTTTCTATCATGCAGGCAATTACACGGATAAGTGAAATTACCACGGCCAAATTACTCGTCATATACTTGTCAAGTAACACTGCAAATGGATCGACTTTGAAGAATGCGTTTAGTATGACACTCACAGAAATCTTGTAATGCCCAATGAGCAACTTCAATACGTGTCATTTGATCCATATTTACAGCATTGACTGTCTTTAGAATGCGGAATTTGGAAGAATTACTTGGACACTTTTATAAAATGGTGTTCTGTCAATTGAATGGTACGTTCATGCCGTTGGGAAATATGAAAAGTACTGGAAATGCTTACATTTGTAGGGCTAACAAAATATCGTCTCCAACATTTAAATCGAAAACAAAAATAAGCTCAATCTACTCACCCTGACATCTGCAATTGTCACGGATATTTTTGAACACGTTTTGCTGGACTTCCACTGACATCGTAACCCATCACCCCAATTGCATTTGATTCAAAGTTCAATTATGTTCCATCTTCAGCTTGAGGGGCACAGATCATGGTCGGTGCCTCCAGTCAGCATGGTCGACTACGTACGGTGCAAACGAAGTTCAACATACACATGTCACAATTTCAACATTGACGAATAATAATTCTTCCCTACTAATTATGCTTTACATTACAATCAACGTTTCCTGTCAAGGCATGTGCTTCTTGATAATACCACGATGGCAAGACGGTGCACACCACTGTTGCCATGTTATTCTGGAGCGAACGTAACGCTCGTGTTTGCATAGTCGCTACGGTTTTAGCCGCGTGACCCTTTTTTGTTATCCTTTCCCAATTGCAAGTCTACATCTCCCATGCCCTGCCTTGTTGGTGCTCTGCAGGCGAGAAGCCCTACAAGTGTTCGTGGGAGGGGTGCGAGTGGCGCTTCGCACGGAGCGACGAGCTGACGCGCCACTACCGCAAGCACACGGGCTCTAAGCCGTTCAAGTGCGCGCACTGCGACAGGTGAGACGGGGCCGGAGTCAGCGCACGAACACCTTCACAGAGGGCGGCGCCCGTGTTTTAGCTTCGTCTAAACGGAAGCAAAAAAACGACACGTATTCAGGGCCTACCTTGGTTCCTCCCACCCTCAACCAGTATATATACGAGGCCTGTTTTCTTGGAATTTCTCTCACTTGATACGGCAGTCGTGCTGTGACGGTTGCACCTGAGGACGGAGGCTTGTGTTGCCTCCGAAACGTCGTGATTTTTATTTTATTTTTATTTTACTTTTATTCATTTTAATTTTTTACCTACGTGACTTTACCGAAAAAACCTAAGAATACGTACTAAATCGTGCGCACGTATGCACGAGTCGACACAAAACAAAAATATCCTCGGCTAAACGATGTTCATTATGCCAGGTAAGGCCCACTGAGCTACGTAGCTCTTTTTCGGAAGTCACCTGGTCACAAATGATAGCTCAACGAAGTGGCTTATCACCTGGAAATCGATGCTGATGGAAGGAAAAACCGGAGGACCCAGAGAAAAATCCACGTGACCTCGAAGATAGACTTTTGGGGCAAGTGCTGTTAGCGAGTAGCACCTATGAAAGCTGGCACGGCACACGAAAGGGTGGGTGTCCAGAGCCACGCCCGGCCCGGCTTTTGTCTGACAATGTTTGCCCACTGCACCAGGTACTCATTTAAGGCTGAGTTGACCTAGGGGAGGCCCAGGACAGGTTAAAATAATCGTTACTGGTGTTGGCCGTGAGCAGGAATCAAACTCGAGTCACCGGGTTTGTAACGCAGTGCGCTGACTGCTACACTACTGCTCCCCACACACATCTACACAGACACACACACAAGCACATCTACTGATTAAACATTGCAACACATACAAGCAAATACATACACAGCGCACGTGCACGCATTCTTCGTTCCACACATGGCAACAAATTGCATTCAAATTCGTCGGTATATTTTCAATATTTTCTGGGGGGAGTGTAGGGGTCATCATAACAGCATTGCACCTTTGATTAGCACGGTTGGCTACGTACGGTGCGAAAGAAGTTAAAAATAATAGCATACGCTCCCAATACACATACACATCTTTGGTCACAGCATCAGGTTCACTGATCAGCTATCTCAATGTCATCTCCATTGAAACTGCCAACACATTGGCATGTTGCATAGTTGGGTCTCGCCTCGACGATTGCAACTCCGTCCTAGTCCGGTCCTCGTATGACAACCTCAAAAAACTACAAAGACTACAAAACAACCTGGCACGTGTCGTCATTGCCCGCACTCATCCCCATCTCGACTCACTAGCCTGTCTCCGTGCTCTCAACTGGCTCCCCATCGCCAGTAGGGTCACATACAAGATCGCCTGCCTCTGCCACCACGCCATCACATCTTCCTGCCCCCCGTACCTCTCTTCATTATTGACAACTTGCAGCACAGCACACGGCAGATGCCTGCGCAGTGCGACTCTTGATACCAAGATCCAGGATGGTCATGTCTATGCGCTGCTTCTCGGTGGCTGCCCCAACAGTCTGGAACGCACCTCAATCGCCTCCTTCAAGAGACACTTAAAAACTCACCTCTACAGCCACGTGCTTTCGAGTGAATCTGAGCATGGCTCCACGCCTCCGAGTTGCGGCCGTTATGTCCGCAAATTTGCGTGCGTTATAAATTGCATTATTATTAATTAAGAAATTCCCATACAGCACGCTCGTGTACTTGCCCAATCCTGGCACAGCTGGTTCAAAAACCCAACAAACGAGACTAGGCTCGAAAGAAAGCTGTCTCTGGTGTGGACTAATCAGTTTCAAAGACAATGCATATACTATTAGAGTATGTTTTTGTTTGCAGTCTGACCACAAGTGTTGTGGTTAATGCAGACATGATTCCTTGTAAAAGGTTTCAGTTTGGTGCTTGAACATCTTAACACAGCTGTTTTGTTGCCAGAATAAAGAGGAAAACCTATTCTCATATTTTGCTACTGGCAAAGGAGGTCCCATGATGATATCCAATACTTTATAATTCCAATTCTGAAGAATAAACAAAAGTTACCAATGTACAGAGTTTGTATTTATTTGCGAGCATCAATACAACAGAACGAGGATAGGGATGAGAACATCTACGATCAGCATGTGAATGCAATGGATAGAGTGTAACACCCACGTGCGCTGTCGGCACATGCCACGCATACAGCAAAGGCATTGCATCGACCACAATATGACACAGCAAGCAATTAATTGTGAGTCAATCATCCATGACCCATGACTGGTGCAGCAAATTACATCTAATTTCTACGTCCCATCCCTGCTCTTCTATTCCATCCTTTAAGCAGTTGCCTTCCAATGACACTTCATTTTCACCTGCGCACTCTTACAGCGACGACGTCTGGCTGAGCTGGCAGGCTCGGTTGCGCACTGACAAGTGAAAGGCTGTGACAAGTATGGCAACTTGCATACTTCATCCTGCCTATAATAACCTGCAAGGTAACACACATTCGATCTCAAAGACAAAGGCACCCGCGATGGGTAAAATACAACCCGGTAAGCTTACGTCGTTTATTTCAGAGGCATTTGTCCAAAACATTTCCTCTATTGTTTCTGGAACAATATCAGATCATTATCGCTGCAATGCATCTTCTAAGACTGTGGTACAACCTTTAAAAAACGAGTTCCTTTCTTTACACAAATGCACATAACGGACCTAGTGCCCATGGTTACAATGTAATCCGAAGTTATAAATTCGTAGCACCATTAATGCCAATTAAAACGTTAGCAGTCTGATCTTCTACATTTGCCAAATTCAAGGTGTGCGTAAATTTCAGGACAGATCCACAATGTACAGTAGAACCCTTCCTAACGACCACTCCTGTTAATGACTAATCACTTAACGACGGGCCTCCATATAGCCCAATGTGTTCACTTACCGACCATGCGCCTGTTAACGACGGGCTTGCGACGAGCACGCGACCGCTAATTTCGGTCAATCGGCGAGATCCCAAAATGGTCTCATCCGGCCTCGGCAAATCAGCGATGTCCATTCATGAGCAGTTGGGGCATTGTTTAAATTCAGTGTCTGCCGCGTTTTAAAGTGAAAGCATCTACTCGCTTAACGACCAACCCACTTAACGACGGTTTTGTGGAACCAATTACTGTCGTTAAGAAGGGGGTTCTACTGAATGCGGTGCTTTTCTCTCCGTACCGCTCCCTCTCGTGAAGGACCTTTTTGCCAGTAGTGGCATGAGTTTTTTGTTCATTGAGTTATCATATTCGATAAACATTTATGAGCACTGCTTTGTAATAAGTCATCAGTCTTAAAATAGAGAAACTGGCCTCTGCCAGAGTAATGTGGAATGTCCACTGCAAGCTCTGGGTAAGGAGATAATTGGATGTTTGCAAAACAGTTTACAAAATGATAACCCATACAAACATACCATGTATTCATTATTTCACAATATGACCACAATAACATCAGTTAATGATGGTAACCATTCTTCATATTGTCCATGTGTATGATGTATTGACATGTCATTATGCATATCAATATTTTAATGGTCACTAAAAACTTGGCACACAATTTCATGAGAGCATTGACCGTGAATTGCTTTCAAACGTCTTTAAAGATTGATTTTCTTTCACTTGATAGCTCACCCGTAAATTATTATTTAATGTCAAGCGTACAAGGCACACAGTGACCAATTTGGTGCTTAAATTAAGATCCCAAAGTATTTCGTTTTTATGGCGAGACCTTAGTGCGAATTCACTTATATATCTCTACACATTGCACAACGTGAATGGCCGCTTCTTCCCATTCACGCAAACAGATGTGATGGCTTGAAGAGGGCCTGGGAGATGGTTGACGTCTGGCTTACGGGCACAACTATGGAGACCGTGCCACTAAGAGCCGAGTGCACTGCGCTGTGGGAAAGGATTACGCGCGGTCGCCTCATTCGCCGTAAAACTCCCCGGGCCAGAACAGATGGAAACTATCTCGCGTGCCACGGCTATTTGCCAAGACGTACGCTGGCTTGCTCGAGCGCACGCGGCGGTACAACGGGGGCGAAGCCTTGCAAAGTTGACCGCAGATGGCAACAGTCGAAGTTTTACTCTTTCCAGAATAACCTTCATCGGGATTATTGTAATCGTGTTTTTTTTTTCTTTCAAATATTGGGAAAGGAATTGAAAAAAAGAAAACGTAACTTTGTTTAACTAATTCCTCGAGCAGCACACGAGGACAATTACTGGTACCGCTGTCAAAGGAACCAATTACACTGGGGAGCAATGCGGCCAGCGACGAACACAGCTGCTTGCTGTTTGCTTCTTGTGATGCGTTTTAAAGGCTAATGTGAATTCCATTTGACTGTCCTTTCATTATTCTTGCTAATGACCTGTTGCAGCCATGCCTCTTTGACACCTAATCCTGCGAATTCTGGCCTATTTAATATCCGCTTATTTTAGCGCTAAGCTGCGCCATTCCCTCTGCTTAATGCATGCAGCAATGCATTACATTACCATAAACAATTAAGTCAAATGTATCTTATTTAACCGTGTTGACCAATTTCATCGTACTGCCCCATGTAATGAAATAACATAAACTAAATATGTTCAAAGGCAATTTTGTTTATGCACGTTGAAATGTATTTTAACTCCTCCTGTTATGGATTGAATTGGATTCAAGACTGTTTACGTTTCCATAAACGCATTACGCATAATATGAATTCGATTAATTGAAGGCATCAGAGTGATTATGCAAGAATTATAATTGCTCCCTTGAACTTTAGCTCTACAGATGGAGGCATTCCATTACATACCCCGGTGATCACACACTGCTCTCACTTTTTCCTGTGTGGCAAATTGAAATCTCGAGAAAATGTGAGACAAGAGCGATAGGGAAATTTCCTTTTTGCGCTCAGGGCTTCCCCAAGAGCCCAGTGGCCAATGTGCTTAGCCCGGAGAATGGCAGGAAGTGTATGGAAGGAAATGGCCCCTATGGGAGGTGCCCGCTAAC